TCTTGGAGAAGTCTGATGATGGGGCTGGCCAGCGGGCAACAGCTTCCAACAGTATTACTCAGCTAGCGGCATACCTCTGCAATAAACTATGGGAGATGTGATCCTGAGCTCCCTTTCCCTGTACTTATAAGGAGACAAGATTAATGGGAGATGCAGAGAATAGCTGGAATCGTGCAGAATTAAAAGAATTGGTACTGCCAAGTATACCTATTCAGCTAAGCGAGAGGGTCCCCCCCTTGTGAATCGGGAGCTCTGCTACCGGGTGTCTGTCTTTTCTCTGCACTGCAGGCTTGCTTCTCTCTGTCTGGCAGGATCTGGTGGCACATTCTTGGCAGGCCCGTTTTCAGGTGTACCAACAAATCTTACCAGCTCCTTCTGGAAACAATGCAACAGAATGACAAGCAAGCAGCTTCTTGTGGCCTAGACTGTTGCTACAGCCTCTGCCTGCTCCATGGCTCTTCATTGATCCTATAGACTTTGTATGTGGATGCTGATACTCTCCTGTTGCTCCCCTCCTTCCTAAGCAGTCTCTCCTAGGAACTGAATGCCCATCTGGTCCCTTCCCACTAGGCTGATGGTGCCTGCCTGGCCCAAGCAGGGCTTCTGCAGGAGATAAGTGTGTCTGGCAGCAAGCCCCTAGGGCAGCTGGTCATGCTGTTTCCCCAGAGGTCTTCCAAGGGCAGCCAGTGGTGTCTTTCATTGCTGAGGCAGGTGGTGACCGTTCCACAAATAGGTGATTATTGGTGGGACAGGTTCCAGGAGAAGTAGTGGTATTGCCTGGTTGACAGGTAAATGTTTAGCTGGGAGAGGTACCAGCAAAAAGTGACTGTGTGTATTTAAAGAAGAGTGTATGTTGCTAATATTCTGTGAAACTGTACTGTTTTAAAAAAGGTTTCATGTTACCAGCAGCATTAGGAACCACAACAGATTTCAGTTTAACACGAACTCCAAACACTTCTCTATTTTTTTGCTTTTGCAACCTGAGTTTCTGAACAATTTGTATAAAATTTCAAGTCAAAAATCTTCCTGCTTCTGGAGACAAGCCTTTTCACTTAATGTCCATGCTGTTGCTTTGTTTTGTGTTTGTGACTGCTGATGTGAAGTGAGCAAGGAGTGAAGGTCTGCTGTGGTCTTGGGTCCTTTGCCGGAGTGATTGTGCTCAGTGTAGAGCTCAGTGGTGTGCGAGGAGCTGAAGAGATTCCTTCTAGTGTGTGTGTGTTACCTTTCATAAATCTGTTTGCCCTGCTCAATTAAGGCTGGCTAACTTCCAGGTATTCAAGTTCCATTGAAGTCTAGTGAATAAAACACCAGCAGCCCAGCCTCCTTCATACATAGATTTACAAAGAGCTTTGCAGGCAATCCCATTTGTCAGAAGTCTCTCCCTTTGGCTGTTTTTTCAGCTTAGGGGTTTCCAGTTGTTACCTGTGCCAGTAACTCCGGGTTTTCACCTGATGCTTTTTACAAGAAAGACTCCATGTGCTTAGTAGTTCCCTGCTGTAGCGCCAAGACTTGCATGCTCTGGCGCTGAGAACGTCACTGTCGCTCTCTGGATTAGAATGTACCCCTTTAAAAAGCAGTTGGACAGGGTCAGTAGCCAAACAGCAAATGCAGGGCAACACGATGTGGACATGAAGACTCCTGGGTAGTGAAGCTCTCTGCCCAGGAAGTGATTCTGGTGCAGTTATTTGTACCCTGGGGCCTCTAATGTAACTGGTCATACTGCAGTATTTTCTGATTTCTCTGAGACACTCAGTATTTGGCACTCAAGCGCTGTCCCTGGATATTACAGGAGACCTTCCTAGTCCCGAGAATGGGAGGAGCTAAGCTCCATGATAAAACTGATAGCGAGCCTTCCCCCAAAGACCTCCATAAACCCAGTGAGAAACCTCGTAGAAATGCTGGTGATTGATGTATTTTTTTTTATTTTTATTTATTTATTTATTTCAATTTCTCTGTAACAGGGAGTAATGCTTTCTTCAGGGTCAGCTATCGGACAGGGAGATCCTGAGCACAGGTCAGAGGCTTTGCTGAGACTGTCAGTTTTCAGTTGTCAGCATCGCCACATGCCTGCTGGTTCTAGCTCTCCTAATAATCGGCCTGCAGGCTGGCAGCTTAATTCTTCATGATCTTCTGTTTTACCAGAAATGGCTTCGCTATGCAAGAGTGGAAGGCTCTGATGATCTCTGTCTGGATTCAGTGCTTGACTGTGTGGTGGGATCATAGTCCGGTGTTGGGACAGCCTTGGGAGGCTCTGTGGCCTCTCTGAAGTGCAGTGGGTGACCTGGGTGCAGAGTGGTCCCCTGGTACACCCATGGACTGGCTGGGGTCTGGAGCTGGCTGCTGTTGGGAGGGACAGGCACCAAGGTCCGGCCGGCGGGATGGCTGTGCGGGGCTCAGCCCCTCTGCAGCCTCTTTGCGCAGTGTCTGTATGGAAAGTGCCTCACCTCCCTGTGGACTTGTTCTCCCCTCTGGAGTGCGCAGGTAATGCAGAAACAAAGCTGTGTTTCACCTTTTCAGGTTCGAAGTAAATTTCACTTATCCAGACAGCAGTTGTGGCTGTCCCAGAAAGTTTGACAAGGGGCTTTATCCCACCACGTCCCCAGCTTCTCTGCTCTGAAGTGGTTGTTTATTCCTCCCGCATCCTTTTAATGGTGTAAGATGTAATCAAGAGGCAGCTGAGACCCAGTTACATAACTGGTTGTCAGGGTTTCTCTTTGGCAGCGTTACCCTGCGGCTGTTTGCATGCTGACTTTCAGGAACTCGGGGATTTTCTGTTAACCGCCTAACTCCTGAGCCTCGTGTGGCAGTTGTATTTTGGTTTGGTTTTTTTTTTTTCCTAATGACTACTAATTTTGTCTGATTTGAATTCTCTGAATCTTAAAGTGGATTTTTATTGCTTGGGATTGTGTGAGGTTGGTACAGGATTGACATGGTCTGGATAGGCCCTGAGTCAGGCTCCCTCTGCAAGGCTCTGTAAAAGTACTTGTAAAAGCAGGTGGCCGTGTTCTTGCCAGCACAGCTGAGGGCTGGTGTGCAGCACCCTCTGCTATTCGCTCTGGTCCGGGGCTCCCCTGAGCCCTGGCAGTTCAAACAGGTCATTGTTCTCAATCCAGCTGCTGCTTCCCTGCCAAGTCCGTGCTAATCGGTGCTTTTTTCTCCCTTTCTCTTTTATGTCTGTCCCACTAAGAAAACATAGTGGAAATGGGCAAGTGAGGAAGGAGCTGTTGTTTTCTTTGGCACACGGTGACCATCTGAGCAAAGACTGAACCACATGGGAGCCAAAGATCTGTTTGCTGCTCTGCAGGAAAAGGTGCCTCAAGAATGCTGGCCAGCCCTGTTGCCTCTGCAGCCCCACGTGGTGGTCCAGGAAAGGTGGCTGTGAGGGCCTTCTTGTGGAGCCTGGTGTTTTTCCTGAGCATCCTGTGGATGCTGTCACTGAGTGACAGAAAATGGTTTTCTTCCTCTGTCCCTGACCACACTGCTTGCTGCCTAGCATGCAGAGTCCACGGCTTCTTACTGCTGCCAGGCCTGATTTAAGTCCTGCAACACAAGAACGAACATTGCGTGGTGTCAGGTTTATTGGTCGGAAACTTGACCCCTGGCAGCAGCCTTTGGGTGGATTTTATTTGGCTGGTTGCAGATCGCAGTATGTTCTCACACTGGCTGGATCCGACATGTTTGTGGTCTGCGCTTTATTTTCTGCATAATGCCTGATGGTCTAAGCCTCTTACCTGGAAATAGTGTTTAGTAAGGCATTGCTGGTAGAAGTTGTAGCTTCTGGTCTGATACAGTTTCTTTCAGAAAGAGGGATTTCTGGTGGTGTTTGAAACATATACTTTCAGCTGGAGGAGTTTCAGAAAGGGTGAAGGGTGGGAAGGTCCCAGAGGGAGAGAGAGAGAGAGATAGATATATACATTATCATTTTATTACTTCCAGCACAGCATTGCAACCCTAAGATGGGACCTAGCAGATGGCATAATAAAACTGCCAACAGTTTCAGGCTTCAAGTGGAGGCTTTACAAGAAGAAATCTGGAAATATAAATGGCGTGTGAAAAGGTTAGATTAAGCTCCTAGATTTGAGAAAACTTAGAAGAGAGAATTATGCTTGAAAAAATGAAAGGTACACTGAAAGTAAACAAAGTTTATTTTCTGACATAAAAGTTGATCTACAGCCTGTTTGTTCCCCATGTTTCAGCTTTGTCCTAGGCTCCAAGAGCCAAAAAGTGGAATGAAAGAGACTGCCTGTGCGAAGGGTGTTAATCGCAGCATGTTGTGCCAGCAATGATCGGAGTGAAAAATGAACAAACCACATCCATTGTGGAAAGTATATAGCTAAAAATGGTGTTGAAGGTGCTAGCAACAGAGAAATTTAATCCTTTTTTAAAAGTGTTTTCAGGTGTTTTATTTTGACTCCTTAACTCTTTCTCATGGCCAGCAGATGGGAAAAGGGAATTTGAAGAAATAAGTCTCTTGCCTTCAGGTGATGCTTTCAAAGCATTAATTGCTGATACGAGTTATTAACTGTGGCCAGTGTGGAACCATAATCTTAAACATTACAAACCCAGCTACCAGTGCTTCAGTGGGAAACCCAATGATAAATTCCAGTGTGGTGTAAAATACAGTGCTCTTCTGTCATTTATATTTAGGAGTCCTTGTGCATAGCTGCTTATTTTAGACTCACCCTTTTAAAGCAAGGCCTATGTTGACCACCCTCTCTTGTATTCTTATATTTAAAGAAGCTCACCTCTTTCAACACTAGAGTGGCAGAAAAAAAATGATGCTGTGAGAAGTGTGTTCCTGCAGTTCTTTTCATTCAGTTTATGAACCTTAAATCCCGCAAGCTTCTTGTGACTAAAGAGGAGGGGGTTAAAACCTTGTAACTTAGTGTGTCTCCTCACTGAATATCTGCAGTTCTAGCAGTTGTGTGTGTTTTACTTTTTGCTTGTCTGTGGCTAAATAATCTGTTTGATGGCATTTTCCTGGTTCTCTTTCATTAAAAGGCAGATCGGGAGCGGCGCAGAGAAATTTCCTTACTAGATGACATTTCATCGCAATGTCCGATCGTTTGGGGCAAATAACCAAGGGAAAGGATGGGAAAAGCAAGTACTCGACTCTCAGCCTGTTTGATAAGTATAAAGGAAAGTCAATAGAAGCTATCAGAACTACAGGTAAGAAATGCCTTCAGAAAGCTCCTTTTGGTGTCTCCCGTGAGTGGTGTTGCAGAGTTAATTCAGGTTGTTGGCCCTGAGGGTAGGATGCCCAGTGGGAAGCAGCTTGGTTGCAGAGCTGTTTGTGCTGATGTCTAAGCCTGTGCTTCATTAGGACTCCAAGGAAAATGTCTGCAGTTCTTTGTGCTGCTGTTATTGTACAGACATGGAGGAACTATGGCAAAAACAGCCAGGGGACTGTTGGCCCTTTTGTTTAGCCTGTGTCCTTGCTGCAAAGTGGTCAAGTTACAAACTCGAGCGAAAGCCTTACTGGGGGCTTAGGCTATACCAGGGTGGGGCAGTTAAGCTGACTGAAGTGCCTTAGGTTGGTCAGAGCTTGTGTGAGATGAGTTGAGCAGCGAAGACCTGGGGAAGAGCCTGAGCCGGTTTTGCAGTAGGGATGTAACCAAAACTAGATTGTGGGGTCAAAACAATAGAAACATTGCCTGGACTGGCTCTGGATTTGGTGTGGGAGTAGAAAACCAAAGAAAATAGAATACCGTCTTAAGAAATGTGATCTGGTGGGTAGAGCTGGTAAATGTAGACCTCTGAACTCCTGGGTTTGATTACCAGTCTGTCTGCTAAGAGGTGGACTTGGATGGCCGTTTCCCCAAGCTGTGGAAGGGCAATGCTTGCTTCTCCTTGGTGAAATGAAAGAGGAGTATCTACACAGGTAGCTAGAAGACTCTGTGGGCATTTTCTTTTAGGGAGGATTATTTCTGTCTCCCTCCTGACTGTTGTAGGAGGCTGCCTGTTAGCCAGCTGCTACAGCAGACGGATGCTTTGTCATGGTCCTGTGGGAAATGACCTGTACGTTGACATAGCAGCAGTGGTGCTGCTTGTTGTACACTTCTGTTGGGGCTGCACACAGCCACAGCATGCTAATTAAGGTTATTTACCTAGCAGCATATAGCTCCCTGTGACTTGTCGTCGTTCCTTTCTCACTAGTTATTCCTAGACATGGCTTGCAGAGTCTTGGGAAAGTTGCTGCTGCCCGGCGCATGCCACCTCCTGCAAACTTGCCTAGCCTGAAGTCTGAGAACAAAGGAAACGACCCCAACATCATTATAGTACCCAAGGACGGTACAGGATGGGCAAACAAGCAGGATCAGCCAGACCAAAAGAGGTAGGTAGAACTACTTTTTGCTAAGTTTTGTCAGGTAAGCAGCAGCAGTTGTGCACTGCTGTGCTGTGTGTCGAACGGTACAGTGATCAGTTCTCTGTTGTCCATGCCAGTGTAGAGCCAACATTAGCTTGATCTTTTAGCAGTTGCTGTATTACCAGAGTTGTTTGTCTGTCTTCTTACCGTCCTTCCCCTTTGATCTTACCTCTGTTGTCTCTTTTCAGTTCCAGTGCGACGGCTGTACAGCTGCAGGAGTCGCTGCCGCAGCAGGGTTTGCAGAAATCTGTCTCCAATTTACAGAAGCCGACACAGTCAATCAGTCAGGAGGTGGGTGAAAGCGGTCTCTGTGACTGCCACTCTGCTTCCCCTGTCCCCAGATAGCTTGAGGGATTTCTTTAATTGTCCGTGTTGCCTTGCACACGTAAGAATCAGCAGACTGCAGTTTACAGAACAGCTTCTGTATTATCAATTCTTGTAGAACTGACTGTCTTGACTCCAAGTTACTGTGCTCCAGGAATGCAATGCTGCAGTTACAGTATAACTCTGTGCACGTTATCTTGGCACCTTTCAAGTGTGTGCAGATAAGTCTAGCTTCAGTCTAGAAAGAATGGCTGGACTATGGGATGGCTGGTTAGCACTTCTACGCTATTTGACTTTGGGTCTAATTCAAGTGTTGCTTGATGACAACAGATCCAGCTCTTGCCCCCAGCCTGATGAGACTTGCTAAGAAGAGATCTGGTCATGTGGGAGAAGTAGCCAGTGTCAGGACCTGAAAAAGCTACGGCAAGTAAGAAAGCTTCCCCAGAGAGTGCAGGGACCTGGCCCCTCTGCGCTGCAGATTTCACACTTTTAGTTTAAAAAAATTTTCCAGCCCTTGAGGCTCAGGGAAATCAAGACAGGAGTTATGTTTTGAAGAAGAGAAGAGTGGTTAATGCTTGAGAAAGTAGGGTAGCCTTCAAGCTGAGGTGCAGCGTGGAACAAATCTAGAAGATTAAGAGGGACTGTTTGGGAAAATGCGACAGAACAAAGGGAAAGCTTGATTAGAGGGAGGAGAGCAAGAGGAATGGTTTGAGGAAATGGTGAAGATGAGCTGAGGAGAGATGAGAGGCAGGGCAGAGGAGAGGAATATTTGCTGTAGTATCATTGTTCACTGGAGAGGGGAGCAGCTAACTTTAGCCCCTTCAAGAAGCTGGGGAGACCTGTGGTATCCAGTGACATCTGGGTGATCTAGAGGTCTGAACCATGGCAGGTGCCAGCCAGAAAATGAGAAACAGTTGTGAGACTTCACTGATCTGTGGGCGTTGGGGTTTTTTTGTGTTTTGTGTTGTTTTCAGAGTACAAATTCAGTGCCAGGTGGACCAAAGTCATGGGCACAGCTGAATGGAAAGCCAGCAGGACAAGAAGGTGGTGAGTATAATAAACAGAAATGGAGCTGGGTATGTGCCTGCTTCCCCCAGACAAGTATGAGGTGGGATGAACTCCATTTCTTCCTGCCTTCCCTGTCTAGACTGGTGCGGAATGGGACACAGCTGTCGTAGTTACAGTGCAGTGAGGCCATATGAGCCTTGTTTTCAGTCTGTGTAGTGTGTTGGCTGGAATGATGCAGCTGCATCTGTTCAGGTCTGCCAGTGCAAGAGAGCTTGAACAGAATGTGTCCTGTTGGCGTCTTGAACTAGAATGATGAATGCTCTTGGGAAGCAGCAGGGAGTTCTGGGAGGTGAGGGCTTTGAAAGAGAAGGGAAAGATTTGCCCCCTTATAAGCATCTTCCATCACCTTAGAGCAATGTGTAATAAAGGTGCAGAAAACAATGGGAGAGGGATTGATTTAGAAGAAAAGAAAGGGCATCAGAGACTGGAAATGTAGGCATCTCCACGGCTAGTAGCATGGAGAGCTTCACCTAATTAGGTGGTCATAAGTGAGGCTGTGATGATAATACTCAGGGAACCTGTACACAGCGTCCTTGGTCCGAGGGTGTGACAGTGTCAGTGGGTGGAAGTGGCACTGAAGCTGTGACAGGGTGCGCTTACTTACACCTTGGCTGAGGCCTTTCTATTAAGTCTTCCCGAGTAACTGTGCTGCTAATGGCTTCTGCTTGACTGAGATTCCTGAAGCAGTGTTAACATATATTGGGAGTTTAGTTGTCTTCAAATGGATCCATTTCCACGCAGGAGGTGGTTTCCAGCTGCGCTGAGTACTACCATTAAAACTGGAGTGAGAATAGCAGCTCAGTTCCACTGTTTTAATGTGAACAGACCTGGAACCATTCAGTTGTCAAGTGACGTTGCAGAGAGATATGAAAGAATTGAGACAGCTGTAGATTGCAGAAATGGAGAGTACAAGCTTATACTAAATTAAATGAATTCCTTAATGAGAGGGTGTTTGTCAAAGGCTAAATGTTAAAGCAGAGACTTGTTGGAGGTTGGTGGCCAGTGCAAAGACGGTGTCTTGTTTGTTTTTGAGACTGTTGTTTAGTAGTGCAGCAGTGCTGACAGTTTCCTTTTATTCAGTGTTATCTTGGCAACAGATTTAGGAGGATTGCTGTGTTCTGTTTTCCAGTCACTGGCAGATCTTTAGAATGGACAGAAAACTGCCATTCTAGGGTGGCTGGTGACTCAGCAAGGCAATTTGCGAGTGACAAGAAATGAACCTGGCCTGATCCGGGTAGTGATCTGCATCTTAGAAATGCTGCAGCGGGGGGGAGAGTGGGGTATAGCATAGAGCACTCGGTGCTTACGTCTGGTCTTTCACTGAGTATTGCCAGAAGTCTTAACAATAGACTTCCCTGGTAGAGTGAAGTCTGAGCAGAAAGAGTCTGAAGAGAAAAGGCAGATACATGATAACAGGGCATCATCTGTAAGCAATCTTGCAGGATGTATATCTCTGTCTCAGTCTGAATTTTGTACTTTAAGAAGATTTTGGATGCTGAAAAAGTTCACTGTGACTTTATTGAACACGAGAATTCAGACGAAGATCCCAAGATGAGAGTGTGGGAGTGCTGGGTGTGGACATGCATTGTCGTGTTGGTGGTAGTGCTGAGTGTTTTGGATGTGAGCTGAGGTGCTGGAACAGTAGTAGTTTGGGTTTAAATTTGCTGGAGGCCCAGATTCTCAGGAAACATGTTTCCAGGCTGACCTTGTAAAGGAATTGAAAGAGTGGAAAGATCTTCTCTGAGTCCCACACTTATTTGTCTAACAGGTTCAAGGGCCTCAAGCCGACTGTTATCCTTCTCTCCCGAGGAATTTCCGACGCTGAAAGCAGCTGGCGAGCAGGACAAGGTTGGCAAAGAAAAGGGCGCCTTAGATCCGTCGTATGGGCCAGGACCAAGCCTCCGCCCCCAGAGTAAGTGAAAGACTATGTCTTACTGCCTTATCCCAGCTCATAGCCCCATAGACTGTGTTTTGGGCAGGGGGATGCCACTTCACAGTAGTACCAGATGTTCCATCCCTACATTTCCTTTTATCTTTTTACGAGCTCACATGTGTCAAGGTGCTTAGCGAATGACCACAGATTTGCACGTAGCAGTGATGTTCACTGCCTGAGTTCTGTGGTCCAGTCAGGCAAGTATGGACTGTCATCTACTACACTGTTTCATAAAGGTTGCAGTGTGATGTTGCAAAGCAGCTCCCTTCCTCTGGGCTGAGGGAGAGTCACAAGTGAAGTGAGTAGGTGGTGTAATGTGGCTTCTCTTTCTGCAGGATCTAATTGGCCTTAATTCTGCAGGATAAGGACTGTGGAGATGGGGAGCAGAGTTGGTTGGAATTTGGGCTTATTCACAAATAAGGGCACCACTGGTATGGCAGTTAGTTGGTGACGGCTGATGCTGTTAGTCTCTTAGGAAAATAAACGCATTTGGAAATTTCCTTGGTGTTTTTCTACATGCTCAGTGTAGTTAGGGCTTGACCAAGTATTTGAGTTTTGAGACTTCTTGGCAGACTGACTGTCTGCATTTACAAATGTTCACATAATTATTACCTCCTTTCCAGATGTCACCAGTTGGAGGGAGGGCGGTGGGAGGAACATAACCTCTGCCATATCTCTGACCGCCTCCCCTGCTGAGCTGGGCAGCAAGACCTCTAGCACCGGAGACGGAGCCCCCTCCTCAGTGAGTGCCAGCGATCCGAAGGAGCCGTCTCTCCGCCCAGCTCAGCCTGTCCGCAAAGGGGCTTCACAGTTCATGGGAAACGTCTACCAACCACCTACATACCATGACATGCTACCCGCTTTTGTAAGTCGCCCTTTCCCCACAGCTGTGTAATGTCCTTGCTTCTTACAATGTGTATGGGGGTTGAAGAAGGCAGTTGAGATACCTGTTTGCTGGACTCTTGGCTGGTTTGCAGGGCTTGCTCGTGGTTCCTTCTCTTGACCTATTTTTAGTTTCCCCAGTTGTGCGTTTACCCTTTGATGCTAGAATAGTGTAGCACAGCCTTGCTCAGCCTGAGGAAAAGTTGCTGCTTTCCCTCTAGAGCTGGAGAGAGTAACCGTTAGCATGTGGCCTGTTAGGCAGCCAGACGTGAAATGTTTGTTTTCCTTTTGCATGGATGCAGCTACCGTGCTTGTGTTGTAACTTAATCTGGGTAAGCCTTCCTGTGGCAAGGAGAAAAAGCAGACTATTCTGCTTTGCACTGTTCCAGATGTGTCCACAACAGCCATCTGAGGCCCCTGCATCGCTGGACCGAGGGTCTTTCCCCGTTCCTCAGCTTCGGCTGGAGCCTCGGGTACCTTTCAGACAATACCAGATGAATGACCAGGATGGGTAAGGCTGCTGTGACTGTCCCACTTGAGAGGCGGGTTCAGGGTGTGACACGAACCTTATGCAAAAATTTGGGCCAAGGATGCAGTTGTGTGGGTAAAACTGCAGGCAGCCAGCCACAGAGGAAACCTGATTTTTACCCAAAGCAGCAGTGCTTTGTTCCTGCTCCAGCAGAATCTGAAATGTTGCAGGCCTGTAAGCACTGTGTGTCTGAAGAGCAGTTGGACATGAAGAAGTAGTTTTGTGTGATCCTGGACTGGAAGGGTTGCAGTTTTGATCTCTAAGCTGTAGGAAATGGGTACCAGGCAGACAAGGGAAAGAAACTTTGCCGGACAGGGAGAGAAACTTGAAACCCTCGTATACAAGTGCATGGTAGAAAAGGACTGATTTCACTGTTACAAACTCAGCTCTAAATTCTTTTATTTACTGTTTGCTGTTTCTGACCATTTCTTTGCACTTCCCTGTAGAAAAGAGAACAGGCTTGGCCTGTCTCGCCCAACACGTCCAGTTCGGCAGCAAGTAGAGAGAGCTCCTCGACCCACCATTATCAACGCAGAGAACCTAAAGGGGCTGGATGAACTAGACACTGACGCAGATGATGGATGGGCGGGTAAAGTGCTTCCATTCTCTAGCTTCAGGCAACAACTTAGGAGGTAAAACAAAGTAGTTACTTTCCCCTGAAGCATGAAGTAGCCAGGATATTCTGGTGGCTCTGTTTCAGTGTCACAGAAGGGAGAAGGGAAGCAAAAAGTGGTCTATGTAGTTGTGAAATTGCTGTTGGTGTAAATGATGACACAATGGATCCTTCTGATCCTTCCATCATGCTATACTCAAGGCATGGGATCTGAAGACTCCTAAAAGCTGAAAACACCAAACAGCAGGAGGATAGCAGTATGGCTGCTGGGAAGAAGAGTTAGTCCTACCTTTTCAGTCATGGTACTCAGTATCCAGTTACACATGGTCTAGCTTGGTGGCTGTCTCCTCATTTGCAGTCCCCATTCCCAGACCGCTTGCTGCTCCTCTTCTGGGACCAGCCCAGCTGTTCAGCAGTGTGGGTCCATGCTACTCACATCATGTCCAGTACCTGTGGTGGACAAGTAATTCATGCCAAGCCTGTGCGTTCTCTGGTTTAGTGCCAGGACGATGGACCTGTTTCTTTCCTCTCATATATCCCTTCTCCAATCTTCCTGTGTAGGCATTCATGATGAAGTGGATTACTCTGAGAAACTAAAGTTTAGTGAAGATGAGGAAGAGGAAGAAACTCTTAAAGACGGACGACAGAAGTGGTAAGAAGTGGCTGTATTTGCACCTACAGTTGTTTGAATAAAAGTGAACAGTACCACGATCTTTAGAAAACTTATTCTAGATGTTGAGGCTTGGTCCCTGATTCATACTGTGGCTTTGTTGACTCCACTGGCTGTTGCTTGAGTGGGCCTCAAGGATGTGCGTGGGTCTTGAAGCTGAGTGGCAGGATGCCTGGCGTTTTTCCTCCTCCCCTTTCTGTGTCTCACCTTTATGCTGCTGCACAATAGTGGTGTTAATCCTTATGCACTTTAGGAGGAAAAGAGCATTGCTTGTTTTGGTGTTTTTCTGGGTTTTTTTGATCTTTGCTTTCTGTTATGGTCAGTTGCCTTTCCCACTTCATAATACTGCAAGTGGTTTTTGAGGCAAGTTGCAAATGTAATAGCAAAACTGTGGATATGGCAGGAACAACTGGGATCCCAGAAGGCAGCGACAGTTGTCCCTGAGCTCCGTGGACAGTGCAGATGTTAAACACACCGTGGAGGAAGGAAAGAATTGGGGTGACTCAGCTGGCTTGTCCCGGCCAGTCCGGAAAGTGCAGGATTCCCAGCAGCCTCCAAGGAAGCTGAATGGCTGGAGCTCTGCATCTGAATACCAGGTAGGTTGAACTTGTGTGAGTGGGCTTGTGCTGCTGGACATGATGCATTGCTGTCCTTAAGAGGCCAGTTTGACACGTTATTGAAAATGGGATGCTGATGAATTTCTCAATTTTTTTCTTTGTATCTAGCTGCAGAGAAATCTGTCCACATAGCAAAGAAATTGCAGCTGGTCCAGAGCAGTGGGGTTGTCGGACAGTGAGAAAATGAAGCTATGGAACCAGATAGCAATAACTCCCCACCAAAAGGGGGATTTGTGTGCATGAGGACAGAGAGGAGGGAGTTGGGAAGGGATTTTCTCAGTGTAGGATGCAAAGCTTAAGATGCAGATGTTTGGGTCATGCTTAATGAGGAACGCTTTTCCTTTGACAGAAGCCCACAGGAGGAAGTATTCTCAGACAGCAGTCCCTTGAGGATAAAGAAGAAAAGGTGCCACTGAGACAGAAGTTTGTGCACTCTGAGATCTCTGAGGCTGTCGAGAGAGCCAGGAGACGACGGGAGGAGGAGGAGCGGCGAGCCAGGGAGGAGCGTCTGGCAGCATGCGCTGCAAAGCTGAAGCAACTTGATCAGAAATGCAAACTGGCTCAGAAGAGCGGGGAGACCCAGAAACACACGGAGAATGAAGACCTGCGACCCCCCAACACAGAGAAAAATACTGTACAAGAGAATGGTCATGCTTTCCGTAGAGGTACAGGAACATCGCTTGCTTCACCTTGTAAAAACTGCTTTTTTACTATTGTGCCGATCTCTTAGCTGAAGTGTGGGCGAGTTCCTGTGTGGGAGAGTTCAAAGGGTACTTCAGTTGCACTTGAGAGATCAGCTGCCTCACGTGTTCTGCAGAGTATTTAGGCCAGTGATGAAGGCTCATTTTAAAAAAAAAAATCCTACTAAAACAAATGTGAACTTCTTTGGTTGCCTTTATCTGTGCTCAGTCAGCTGTGCTAGCAGAGACCTTGTTCAAACGGGCCTCTCAATCTTCTCATGATTGATGATATTGAGAAGGTAGCTCATAGGCCACAGATCAGAAAATCGGTTATCAGTAGGTGCTGGCAGGTTTAAGTAGTAATGGGAAACGGACTGCTTCCCCCAGTGCTTAAGCAGAAGGCTGATGGCAGAGGCGGATCTTGGAATTTATCACTAAAACAAGGTGGACAAGCCCTCTAGAGCTGTCAAGGCAGATCAGGGAGACTGTGTGTGAGCTGCTATATATGATTATAGTGAAGTTCAACCAAGTAGTGCAGTCGGGACATGCCTGCACCCCTTGTGTGTTGTGGTGTGGTGGTGCATGCACAAGTCCTGTCATGAGCAGAGCTCATCAAGGCTTATTTTCTTTTCTGCAGCAACCCCCGAATTTCACACACAGGATGTCTCTGTTGGCTATCTGGAAGAGGAGACTCCTGCCCCAGCAGCAGCCCAAAGCAGCAGCGAGGAGGAGCTCAGAGAAGCTCCCTCCCCAGCACAGGAATTCAACAAATACCAGAAGTCTCTTCCCCCACGATTCCAGAGGCAGCAGCAGCAACAGCAGCAGGTAATAGGTGTAGCACTCCTACCCCTCTTCCTTCGGACCCCCACTGAACTGTTCAGTGTGCTTGCTTCGCAACACAGTCGCACAACCAACTGTCTTTGGGCTGGGAGGTAAGAAATTAGAGTTTTACACTGCTGTTTTTCAGTACTTTTGGTCACAGATATATCCTGCCTGACAGGGGTAAAAGGGGTCTATATAGGCAACACGAATTTTACGTGCGTTCTGTCATGCTGGAGCTGGTAAGGGCTTTCTGTGGCTGGGGAGAGGCGAGGGCAGGCCAGGTTTGTCACTTGCCTGGGAGCAAAGTAGATGCTGCTGTCAGAAACGTTGACTTGTCTTGCACGGTTGTCTGGGTGTCTCCTGACAAAGTGAAATTTTGGGGTTTTGTGGTTTGTGGCAGAGCTCTGGTTTGCAAATGTGTGTGTACAGGAGAAGCTGGGGATGTTTGCTTCCCATGTCCCAAGTCAAGAGAGCAGCAGCAGCTACCTTGGTACTTGCTGTAGGCCTGATCCAGTGAAGTGTCTCATGCCTTTGGCTGGTGCTGAACATGGTGATCATCTGTTCTTGTTCTCTGGCACGAGATGCGAGTTGCTGTTCTTCAGCACTGCTGCGGTGACAGGGAGCTGAATATACAGGCCGAGGGAAAGGAAAACCTTGGGGGATCAGCTGCTTCCATTTCTCTTTGCACTTGCTGTGCCCTTACCCCGTTAGACAGGGGCAGCCGTTTGGTTGCAGGGCCAAACTGTGCTTAGGTTGGCAGGTGGTTGGACTCTGCTACTGGGATGAACGTGAGAGTTGTGAAGCGGCACACTTCCTGTTCCACCTCCTGCCTTTGCAGAGAGGTGGTCCTCTACATCTGCGCTCATCTTCTAACTACCCAGCTGCTTTTCTGTGAGGCTATTTTCAAATCAGTATTGTGTTTGCACTATTAATGTGTTTGGTCTTAATGAAACAAAAAAACTATTGAGAACTCTCTTCTGGGGCTCTGAGACACCGGTCTGAACTGCTTTATGTATCTTACATCTTGCCTGTCCGTACAGTGCTGTACGTGCCGTACATACTGTTCAGCTGCTCTTCCAGATGCAGTGTGCCTCCTTAGGGCAGCAGAGTCAAAGCGAGGGACGGAATATCCAGGCTTGAGATAATGCAAAGTTAATTGCTGTTCTTTGTAGAATAACCACTTGAAATGTGATATAATCAACACTATTGCGAACCTTAGTGAAGAGCTCACATTTGGCTTTTGCTTGGCAGCTCAGTAATTGCTCTTTTATGGATGTTCCCCTGTGCTTGTTACTGGGCAGTTGACATTTTCATGATTCGGATGTACAGCAGCAAATGCTGCTAATGTTACTCTTTTAAAGAGATGCTCTTAAACTAAAAATAATTGGATGTCTTTGCTGTCATGCTAAGAATACTACAGGTCATTGCTACTGGAAGAACATGAAATTTTCATTTTCTTTTCTCCTACCCTCTGTGTCTTTAGTATATGTGAGACAGTTTTTATTTTGACTGGCTTATATTGCTGCTTTGGTAGCAGTGGTTCCATGAAAACAACAAAATAAAAAATGGTGTTGGTATCGTTAATGAAATATTTTCTCCAAGGTACTGGAGCGCTAGATAACTCGGATATAATCTTTGCATTTATCTGAGTTTCTCTCTTGCCATAATGATGTGTCAGGCTTTGATTTAAGGGTGTCTCTCTTGCTCTGCAGGAGAGGATTGCCTTTTTTTGTGAACATTTACAGTATCTGACACTGTTGTAAGCTTAGTAAGAAAAGATGGTGGAAAGTTTGACAGGTAAATGGATGTATTTCGTGTTAATTGGAGCTGTTTGCCTTTTGAAAGCTTTCTTCAGTACACAAAGCTCTCTTCAAATATAGGTTCTCTTTGGACCTTTAGCAAAAGTTAAATGTCAGATCAGATTAGCATCATGACAGTCCTCAACTAAAGGAAGGTGAACTGGCTGTGTGGGAGATGGGACGCAACCTGAAGGTGTCAGCCCATCTCTGGAGGATGCACAGGAAATACTGTAAAATATTAATAGCTCTCTTAATTGAGTTTAGGTTGTTCTTACCTAATTTTGTGTTTGGCTGCCATGAGTAAAACTAATATATATGCACATTAAATAACTTACAGTTACATTTCCTCCAAAGAGCAGCATCTTCTAAAGTATTTGGTTCCAACTAGGAAATTGTGTTTGGCAGGAAACTGTCCTGTATCTCAGAAGCGTTGAGAAAATGCGAACTCCTGTCTTGAAGCTGATGCCTCACATTTGGCTGCGTAGTGTGGTCCATAGTGGTGTGAGATTCTGGCTGCACTTCTGACTGCGACATATTCTGGCTGTTCTGGGTATTTGGTGAATAACGACTACCATGTTCCCAGCTGGCAGTGAATTGCCCTTATCTGCTCTACCCTCCCATCTGATCTGTTTCTGATCCTCTAACGTGGAATGTGATACCTTTTGGCTGGCCAGTTTGCAAGTGTGATTCCTGGCACCATGACCATTTGTGTGAAACGGCCCATCCCTCTTCCCTGCAGGAGCAGCTGTACAAGATGCAGCACTGGCAGCAGCAGCAAGTCTATCCTCCTCCATCCCATTCCCATCCCCAACGGACGTTCTACCCGCCACACCCCCAGATGCTTGGCTTTGATCCTCGCTGGATGATGATGCCCTCTTACATGGACCCTCGCGTGGCCCAGAGTCGCACCGCCGTGGATTTCTACCCTTCAGCCCTTCACCCTTCAGGTAAGGTATTTTCTGTGTTTCCCTTTGTCATGGCTGTTGAATTGGTCTGTATCTGTAAAGTTGCTGTGCTTCACCGATCTTAACTCTGTCCAGACTTTGGTCCTGGCTGGCTGTGATTGACCTTCTCTAGGGATGAGAAAGAGTTGGTTCCCGTGAGAGCTAGTGGGGAAACAGAGGAGATTGGGGGCGAGAACGCCTGCCTGTCCATCTGCTGCACTGCAATGGGAGATCTTCCCTAACCGCTTTGGAGCCTTAGCGGGTGTAAAAGCAGGTCTTGCCCCTTGGAGCAGAGTTTGGGAGTTACTGGAATCATGTGAAATCTTAATAGACCCCCTTCAAGAAACGTGGTGGAGAAATCCTGTAGTTCTTGAGCTGTGTGCTTCTAGCACCTTCCTGCCTTGTTACTGATCCTCAGAGGTGCGAATATAAACATCGGGATGTGTAAATCATTCCCTTGAGTTTGTGGTTTGTTTTCACACAACTGCTTGCTTGCAAACCAGTGATGGTGTGTAGTCTTCTGTGCAGGCTGGGCTCTGAAAGCTGTGTCACCTTCTGTATTGCTCCAGGTCTATTTCCCAACTGCCTATTTCCTAAGCACAGGCTCCCCTCTACCAGAAAGGTTTCCATGGCTGCAGTCACCTGCTGCCCTGGAAGGAAGGGCAATCAAGCTGAGGGTTGTGGATTGTTAATTCTTCTTGGCTATGAGATCCTAGTGTTAATGGTATGAACTCTGTTGTGACCAGGAATTATTAATAACTGTCAGGCAGGGCAGGCAGAAAGGAAAGCTGCTCCCTTGGACCCTGTGCCAGTGTGGGGCCAGGAGAGCTACACGTCTCTGCAGAGCAAAGGGTACTCGCTATCACATCAGAAACAGGCTGACAGCATGACCATGGAGGGGCTGCATGCCAGGTGAGTGCAGAACTCCCCTGTCCTCATGCATGCTGTGATGGGAGGTGCTGCCGTAAGTCGTCATCTCCTGAAAAGCAGGTGTAGAGTTGACCCAAAAGATATCTCTGGTACTGATCTGGTAGCACCCTTACACTGTTGGGTGCTTATGTTGTGGAGGCGTTTGCAGACTGAGCTATTCAGAAGTTTTCTATCTGATGCCAGTTGAGGCTGACCAGCTTGGAGCCTGCTCAGTAGGAAAGAGGCACTTTTCACCTGCATGGGTGGGTACAAAAAGCAATGAGTCAAAAATTCTGGTACTTTCTAGTTTGTCTCCTAATTCTTTGGGACTTTCTGAAACCAGTTCCTTATTTTCAGATCTCCACATATGTTGGAGGCTGAATCTCGCTTTATTTCTTAAGTTTGCTGCCCGTCGTAAGAACTATTTTCTTTATCGTCCATTGATTTAACAAACCAGGTAGTACAGCCTGGTGCCCAGCATTCAGGTATTTATAGGCTCATTGCCTCATGATTTAGAACAAAACCCAGTTTGCTTAGTGGTTTCCCCCTCTTGTGCCCAGCCTGGGCCCTTGGAGATGTGCTGTGTTCTGCATTAGCTGACTTCTGTTTGTTGTTTGTTTCTTCCTCAGGAATGACAGTTACTCTGCTTCTCCTGGAAGGCCGGAGAGTCTGAGCACCCACCGAGATCTCTTTGAGGAGAGAAGGGAGGAGTACTTGAATGCTTTTGACAAGAAGGCCCAAGCAGACTTTGACAGCTGCCTGTCTTCTCAGAGGATAGGTCAAGATCTCTTGTTTCAGCATCAGGAGACTGTGCAGGAAACCTGTACTTCTGGCAACCGCCATGCAAACTTGAGGTGTTCGCCCCTAGAGCCTGATTTTATCCAAGCAGAGAAGAAGCCTGAATATAATGGCTGGGATATCAGCCACCATCAGAAACCTGCAGAGACTGCAGCAGAAGTTGCTGAAGAAGTGCCCAGGGATGAGCAGTCATTCAGTACTGACCCGTGGAAGAAGGAAGGAACTAATACCAAACAGCCCACTGAAGAGACAACAGAGTGGGCTCCTGAGAACCGAAGCACCAGCAGTCAGCACCAAGAGCAAATGGGGAGGACAAGGCGATCAGGCCCAATTAAAAAACCAGTCCTGAAAGCCCTCAAGGTGGAAGAGAAGGAGAAGGAGATGGAGAAGGTTAAACTGGAGGGAGAGGACACCTCACGCCCACTGAAGGAGAAAGCGGCTGTTCAGAAAGTAGAAAATGAGTCAGATGATTCCGCAGCCTTACTGAACTCCACGTGCTATCTGCTGGATGACAAAGGTTCTTCCCAAGCCAGCGTTGCCCGAGAGGCTGAGAAATCCCAAGAGGAAGAAGAGGAGGATGAGGAGGAAGAGAAGCCAGAAAGAACGTGGGAAAACAAGCTATCCAGAGAGCCTGGTGATCTACCTCCCACAAAAAGAAACAACTGGATCTTCATTGATGAGGAGCAGGCCTTTGGTGGGAGAGGTCAAGGACGTGGGCGAGGGAGAGGCTTTAGAGAGTTCACTTTCAGAGGCCGAGGCACTGTTGTGGGCAGCCGGGGAGTCTACAACAACCAGCGGAGCAGCCGAGGGCGAGGGCTTCGTGAGTTCAACCAGCCGGAGGACTTCCTCAGAGGCAAGCCAAGGCGCCGGATTGCAAGTGAGACGCACAGTGAAGGGTCAGAATACGAGGAGCTCCCCAAGCGTCGCCGGCAGAGGGGCTCAGAAAACGGCAATGAAGGCTCTGTGCTGGACAGAGAGGACAGTGATTTGAAAAAGGGAGACTTCAAAGAGTCTTGGAGATCCAACAAAATCTATTCAGATGATCACACTAGTCTGGATCCTAAGATGAGGGCTCCAAGAGCTTTTGGGAGATCGCTGCCACCAAGACTGAGCAACTCTGGCTATGGGCGAAGGGGTTTCATGGGTAAGGAGCCCACCCAGTGGCAAGGCAGGAGTGGAGGAGCAGGGTGGCAGGAGTACAGCCACACCTCTCCATCAGATGCTTTTGGGAGCAGGCAGCAGCCTGACAGGGACTACATTCAGGATTCTTACAAACACGTGGATTCCTTCTCCGGACGGGTTTTTGACGAGAGTCATCTGGATGACAAAAGGCACTTTTTCCAGGAGGATTACTCAGCAGATCAGGAGAACATAGAAAACAGGCCCTTCAGGAGGCGGCGTCCTCCTCGCCAAGACAAGCCTCCACGATTCAGGCGCCTCAGGCAAGAGAGGGAATCGGTTGGCCAGTGGAACCCCGAGGAGGGAGGCCCCAACTTGCTGCCCAGCCAGTGGCCTGGAAGACCCAAGCTGACCACCGCAGAGAAGAGCAACATCTCGGGCAGACGGTCTCCTGAGCTGTCCTACCAGAACTCATCGGACCATGCCAACGAGGAGTGGGAGACAGCATCTGAAAGCAGTGACTTCAGCGAGCGGCGGGAGAGGCGAGATGGCGTTTCGGAGAGTGAAGGCCAGCTGGAGGGTGGTCTTGGGAGTGGGAGCTTGGGAGAGAAGAGGGAGCTAGCGAAGAGGAGCTTCTCAAGCCAAAGACCTCTTGTCGACAGGCAGAGCCGCAAGGCTGAGCCAGCAGGGTTTGTGGAGCAGTCTGTCCGGACTGGTGTAGGAGCGGCTTCCAGATATGAGACCCAGCAGAACGGGGCACTGATAAAAAGCAAAAGGTAAAGTTGCATTCTGATGTACAGAGATCTGTCATCTAATATGCAGATTTTGTAGGAGTGGAGAAGGGCTGCACAGTGAGTGAGGAGCTGTTGGCTGTGTTTCTTTTCATCTAGTGGAGGTGACTTCCAGCACTGTTTATTCAATCTTATTACATCCAAGGGTTTCAGCATTGTCTGTTTTACAAATGATTATTGCCTTTGCTTCCACGCTGGGAATCCATATTTATGGAAGTTGCTGAGACACTGTGGGCATACCACGTGCTGCTCTTCTTTACCTTAGTTTTGGCCAAAACAGCTCTCCACTCTCTGGACTGCCTCTCACTAGAGACATGAGAGAGAGTGAAGGAAATCCTGGTCTTTAACTCCAAACCTATTGTGTCCTTCCTCTCCTGTCAGGGTTCCCAGTGGGGTGTAGCAGAGCGCAGAAGTGAGGGTTTTGTTTTCCTGGGATACGTTGCTGTGAGCTGTGCAGGTTGAGCACCTGGAATCCCAGGAGTGTGGCTGTGGCATGAGCACAATGTGTGACATTGCCAGTCCTAGCTTTGTCTAAGCAAATATTTCCTTAGACCTTAGTGGAGACTCATGATGAATGGCAAGCAGTGCTGTGTGTTCCTAGCCTGCTGGGAGAAGTTCCTCCTGAGAGTATTTTAAGACAGCTCCGATGCTAGGGGTCAAATACTTCCTTGCAAGTATCTTGTGAAAAATCTGGTGATCGACAAGACGCTGGGTTAGGTGGGCCTTGGCCCTGGGCCAGTTTGACAGCTCCCTTGTTACCCTTTTCCTTTAACAGGAGTAAGAGAAAAAAAGTCTTGTACAGCTGCATTGTATTGGGTTTAAAGCACTGATAAATAGGCAACTTGGTTGTTGTTTTCCGTCCTTTTGTGACCCATCTCCCCCAACTACTGGATGTGGTAACTGACAGTAGTTTATATGGAAATAAGGGAGAGAAGAGCTGATGTCTGGAAAGAATGAATGCAGGTAGAAAGGGCAAGTGAGGGAAGGGGGAAGCTTTTCCCCCCCCCCTATAATGTGTCCCTTTTGGAGTTGAACACTGGGGAGTGATGTGTGGATGGTGCTCAGTGGGGCAAAAAATATCCAGGAGAAACAAAAGGGAAAGAAACTGGGTTTTTTTTTTTTTTTTTCCTTAATTTTGTCAGCCTCTGCTTGTCTGCCTTCCCTTCGCCTGGTGCTTGCCAAGAAATGTCTGTTAATTGCAAAGAGGAGCAGGGGAGCTGTTAGAGCAGTGTCATAGAAGGCTCAGAGATGCTGTACGGAAGCACAGAGCCCTCCCCATGGGGACAAGCTAGGGTATTAGTGTTGTTGTGGGGAGAGCATGTTGGTTGACTCATGAGTACAGGTATTGTTCCGTTTCCATCCCACTTCCCCAGTAACAACCTTGTAATGGGCCGTGTGCTCTTCAGTTCAGCAAAGGCTGGGGAAGGATGAGACGTGATTAGAAACCTGGCAAAGAAAATAGAGCCCTTATGTTTTCTTCTTGCTACTTTTACTCATCTTCTAGTGACAAGTCCTTTCCCTTCTTTCCTCATAGGTCTCCAGAAGAAGGAGGGGGCCTTGGCAATACCAATGGTGGAAGCAGCCACTCCATTTACGGCTTGGATAGGGCCTCCCATGCCAACTCGGAAAGTGCTGAGGGGCCAGGTAAAAAGCCAGAGAAGGAGCCCAAAGCCACTGCGCAAAGAGCAAGTGAAAAGGGAGAGGCCTTGTCACAGTTTGAACTGAGTTATGGAAGTGAGTGTCTTATTAATTAGTTTCTTTAAAGGGATATCACATTGTGACTGACTTCAAGTCAGGGTGATTCAGTCCAATGTAATGTTAAATATCAGATCAGATTACTTTCCATTTACACAAACAAAAAATTTCAGTGTATCTAAATAGGGAAAACGTGGAAGACTAAGATAGCTTCAAATTTTAAGCCAGACTTTCATCCAGATCTGACAGTTCCTCTAATGTTTCTTCTATAGAAAGCTTTGTTTTAGAGACAAATAAGGCTTTTCCATATTTCTATCTAAGGTGTTAAATTCTGAACCCAAAATACCTTATGTAGTGCGAAGGAAGTTGAAAGAGCATCCAGAGTGGGGAATTTGAGTCTGAGCTCATGGCAGGGAGGCAGGAAATGTCTCTGAAACCATTAGCATTAGGCCATGACTCAGCTTTTTGCCGTTCCTAGAACTGAGGTTTTACCTCCAGAAGTGATGGGGGTGTTGTCAAAAGTACCTGGTGCGTGCTTTGTCCTTGCTAATGTTTGGAAAGATGTGTGGGGTTTTTTCAGCTGATGCTACACCTAAAGTTAGCTGAGTTACCACATGGCTCGCATTCCCAAGCTCTCCCAGCTGGAGTGTGCTCATTTTGAAGCAGAAGAGAGCAAAGCCTTGCAAGATGAAGTGACTGGTAGATGTCAGCAGACCACTGTGGCTTAATTTTCAAAGCGTAGCTGCAGTGCTGGTGGCTGAGCTTGTTTGCCTGTAGCATGGATCCTGTTTGGAATTCGTTCTTTAAATTAATGCAGTTATAAAGCTTTATATGCATGCGCACATGCACAGTTTCTTCCCCGTACGTGCTTTGTTCAGGTACCATCATCGATAATCGAGTGTCGAACACAGCGGAAGAGAATGAAGTAGGTTCTATGGCAGGTGAAGGCTTCATTGAGGTTCTTACTAAAAAGCAGCGTCGTTTGCTGGAAGAGGAGCGAAGGAAGAAAGAACAGGCTGCTCAGGTGAGGAGTGGGAGGCAGAAAAAGCTTGATGTGATATGCTGTTTGGACTGCAGTCAGAGGAACAGGGCCCCAAAAAGTGGCCAAACTGCATGTTTTTCTGCTTATGCAAATGAATTAGGACAGATCCTGTATTAGGCCCAGGAAACATCTTTTGGCTTTGATGGGCAGGGGCTGTTGGTCTGAAAATGATGGTTCTGACTGTTCGGTTTTTTTTCTAGCAGCATTGTTACTTGTGAGTTAAGTGATCCTCATCCAAAGCAACTTGGCTCACTAAGCCAGTTTCTGGCTGTGGCTGGTGGGGTGGTGGGCAGCAGCGAGCAGTGGAGAACCTCTGCGCTCTTGCTGTGTCAGCAACGTGTTATTGCTAGAGCATGATGCAGTAGCTCCCTTGCTGGAGGTGTCATGTTTGTGTCTGGGCACCTGACCAGAGAGAGACTAGCAAACTGGAAGAAGCTCTGACAACTTTGTGTTCATAATAGGGTAAAGGAGTTGATTTACAAGAAAAGATGTAAGACTGCAGTGTGGATAGCTTAGTTAAGTAATGTTTAGGAGGGGGACATTTGTATACATGTACTGGAAGTCTGCAAATTCTAGGGGATAAGAGAATATTTTGACATGAAAGGAGACTTAGTGAAATCTGAAGGACTAGATGTAAATGAAAAGCATCGTTGGGAAATGCCTCCTGACGAGGAGGGCTGGTTGGTAGGTTCAGAGAGTCTCACAAGCAAAGTTACAAAAGCCTGGTTGCTTGGCATCTTTGAAATTCAACTGAAGATGTGTGAATGTGCAGTGGGAAAAGTCTTGCAGTTGCAGAGATGTGCTTCTCTTTCTATTCAGACCTTGGCTTTGTGAAAGAGCCATCTCTGTATTGTGAAATTATTAATTGATCTTGCTGTAGCTGGAGTAAAAGAGAGGAATTAAGCAGAGCAAGTCTATTGTAGTGTTAATTTTGGTTTGCTTTGTATCCTATCCCCCTGCCTCCCTAAAAGAAAATAATCTCATGCTGCTGAAGGCAGCTTTCCTCCCTAGCTTGTTAGACTGGGGATACCTCCCTGAAGCCACAGGGTCCATTTAAAAACAAAAAAAAAAGTGTGGGGGTGTCACAATTACTTTTGGTTCTGTGACATGAGCTGGGGGCTTTTCACACTGCAGCATTTAGCAATCCAGGGTTTGAGCTTGCCAGGAGCAGGCTGTGTTAGCCCAGTGCAGTGACAGGTCTTGCAGCTTGTGCCACTTCTCTCTCAGGCACCAGCTAAGGCCCGAGTCCTTCAGTCTCGCATTCCTCCTCGATTTGCTAAGAAGCAGAACAGCTTGTGCTTGGAGCAAAGTGATGTAACAGTGTCTGGAAACAGCCTGGGCACAGAGATCTGGGAGAGCAACAGCCCGGGTAAGTTTTGGTCTGTTTTGTTCCAAAGTGTTTCACAGAGCTGGGGAATTCTCTGGTGTGTGCAGGAAGGAGGGGTGTCTGTGCTTAAGAGTAGACGACCTTCTCTTGTCTGGTGCTGGAAGTGGCAGGGCAGTTAGCAAACATCTGGAGCAGCATCTGTTCAAAGCTGTACTGTTCAACCATCCTCCTGTCGTTGACTGCGTCAGTCTCCTAATCTATTTCTTGAATCTTTGTGTAGCATCAATGCTATATAGCATTTTCTAACCTGTTGGGTTGGAACTGCCTCAGCCACTTTCTTATTTTGCTTTGCTCGGTTTTCTCATCCTCTAGCACTGAATAGCTAGTGCCTCCCTTGTTTCTATCTCTGCCTTTTCTTTCTCCTGTTGTTTTCATGTTACCTAAGAAATCTCTTCCCTGATCCCTCCTACCCTTGCCCTCCATACCCTGTATTCTCTGTGCTGAATGATGTCTCAGCTGATGGGGCAACACTAGCTTTCTGAGCTGGTGAAAATAAAATCTCCTGTCTAGAAATTGAAAGTTACTAGCGTAACATGCACGCTGTACAAGGTGTGCTTGCAGCTATGTTTCAAGCAGATGAACCCTGCCCTGTGTTCCCTTGCAGCTCTTTCTGTTCAGTCTCCTGGCAGTGATTCCTGGAGCAAGCCTGTAAATACTTTTAATGGTACTGAATCTAACACCACTGAGGTAAGTGACACCTAATGTGCCATTCAGGTATTGTGTGTATAAAATATTAACGTAGGTGGCTTATGCTTCTCATTGCTCCATCTGTGCTTAGTGACTCTCAGCTCTGCTTGTGCAATTTTAAACTCTTTGGAGTTCTGATTTGAGCTTGATGCTGTTCAAATCTTGACCTAGAGGGCCAAGCGCTGCTTGGTGTCACATGTGAGTGTAAATCTGGAATAACTGCCTGGTAGAGCTATTCCAGGATTATGCTCCTAACTGGACTCAGAGTGTGGCTGAGGATGGTGGAATCCCATAGGTCATGTTTGTGTGCCTCATGCCTGTGAGCAGTGTGTAGCTGTAGCCTTAATGCAGGGAGGGCAGAGGAGGTTCCTGGACACTTCACCTCTAGAGACCAGCGTTCAAATCTGGTTTGGGTCACAAGTGAAATGTGTTTGGCAGTCTCAGCCTAGTTGCTATATGGGACACTTTTTTCTTATTCTAAAGCCGTGGTCCGGTTGGTGCATTGGTTAACCTGTCTCAGGGTTGTATAGAGCCAAAGCAGCAGCCAAGGCGTGCTGCAGGTGTGGCCCAACTCCTTTGCAGTTAACCAAGAATGTGATTTGAAAAGGGGATGTGGTCTTGCTGTTTTCTGGGATTTTTTTCCTCCTTTGTGGAGCTGGGTTGGAGTCTGGGGCTTTAACACATTTCGTGCTTTGCATAGCAGGGTTTTAAAGGCAGCCAGGGGGATAGTGGCATTGACTTGAGCGCGGAGTCTCGGGAATCCTCCGCTACCTCCTCTCAGCGCAGTTCTCCATATGGCACCCTCAAACCAGAGGAGATGAATGGGGCTGGCCTGGTGGACCCAAAGCCTGACTGCCAGAAGGAGCAAGTGCAGAAGCAATCTGATAAAAAGGTAATCTGGATTTGCAGCCAAGCCAGAGCACATAGTGAGAGATCTCGTGAAGTTGTTGTGTTGTTCTTGATAGCATTTTTAAGGCTTGAGATTGGGTTATTCAGTCTTTGTGTCTCAGCCTCTCTGCTTTCCTGTTAAGGATTCAGATCAAGGCTCAGGACAGAACAAGGAACACAAGCCTGGACCAATCGGCAACGAACGCTCCCTGAAAAACAGAAAGGGTTCGGAGGGAACGGAACGGCTGGAAGGGAATATTCCCCCTGTTAACGGGGTGGAAATTCACGTGGATTCTGTACTTCCTGTGCCACCCATTGAATTTGGAGTAAATCCTAAAGTGAGGATTGAATTTAATTTTATCTTCTTGGTGATTTAAGCTTGTTGAGATATGAAAGGTGGTTTGAGGCAGAAAGATTATTTAGAGGAAGCTTCCAGCTGTAGATTTGCCTGAGATTTCATTACTGACACAAACCAGGTACTCAAGATGTCTTGTCAAACATGTAATATCTGCTTGGAATTATTGTCCCAAGGACCATCTGGGGTGGTACCAGAGGTGAGGGATGAGATTATGGCCATCTAAGCCTTTATGTGCCTCTGGGAGTTGCCTGCTGCTGAGTGCTGAGAAGTGTCTTTTTGCTCTCTTCCAGCAAGGCTTACTGGAGGACAATCTTTAGTTTCTAGTGTCGTGATTTGGGCTAAAGTCACTAACCATGAGAAGCAGATGGGTGGCCCTTGGACCTGTGTTTGAATTTTGTGTGTTTTGTTTTTCTAGGACTCTGACTTCAGCTTGCCACCTGGTTCTGCCTCTGGCGCTGCAGCTAACCCTGTCACCAAATTGCAGGATGCCTTGGCCAGTAATGTAAGTATTTCTTTCTTCTTTTGGCATTGATCCATTGGAAATAGTCCTTAGTTAAACCTCAGATGCTTCCAAAGAGAGCAAAAGTATTTCTTTGCAGTTGACTTCACACTTATTGCTTAGGCAGTACATGTGACTAAAATCCATAATGGAAATCTGTGCCCTCAAGGTACCTTGATAAAATGAGCATCACTAGCTCAGAAGTGATATAGGGAGCAGCTCCATTATCATTGTGACCTGTGTAAAGCAAGAGGTGTTGCAGATCTCCGAGATCACCAGTCTCCTCCCCTGAGACGCAGAAGAGTGCTAGTAATGGACGTGATGCAGATAGTGGCATTTTTAGGCCAGGACTGCCAGCTTCCTCAGAAGGTCTCATCTGCCACAGCAAGGCATAGAACTGTAACTTCTTACTCAGGCCTTTTGGAGGTTTCCTAGCTTATTACAGCCACCTGGGTATTTCGTTATATGTGGAAGACGGAGCACACTGAAACTCCAGCTTGTAGCTCAGCGGTGGAGAGCAACGTGAGAAACTCACAAAGCTGCTTTTGAAATGTCTTCAAGTTTGTTGACTGATTTTGGAGGTTTGTCTTAAAGGATGTTTCTTTTCAGAAGTGTGCTTTCAGAAACAGATTTTGTCTGAAATTTAGGTAGATTGCAACTATGGGACAGGAGGGGGAACGTTTTCTGCAAGTTGAAGTTACTGGATCGAATTAATGTTTAAGTGGAAGCTGGTGTAACTCGACATAGAGGGTGTTATTGCACAAAAAAAGCTTTGTTTATTCCAACAGCAGAATGGATCATGGTTGAGCGTGGTATTTAACTCCTGCAGTACCACTGAGGATTGAATCCTTTGAGGTGCAGATACCAGAGCTGCCAGCTGAGGCTCTGTCATTCTCATGAGAGTTTATAAAGTATTCACCATTTACGAATCTCCCTTCAGGCAGGGTTGGCACAGTCCATTCCCATTCTGCGAAGAGATCATCACCTCCAGCGGTGTATCGGCCTGAACCCAATGTCCTTCCCCACTGCAGACCTTACTCTGAAGGTAACCAAGTTGGCATGCGTGTTTGTCCTAGGTGGATACTGTGTCTCTGTGTCCAGAGTAGTGAGGATGGAGAGATCTTTCCCAGAGCATTTTGTTAGGTACTTTTAAATCTTTAATTAGCTTCTGTAAAAGTTGTGCCTGTGTGCTGCTCAGCAGGGGTGGAAGGGGGATGTGTTTCAACAGTCCTGAATGCTGAGGTCCTCACCAGTTGTAGAACGAGTGCAACAGAGCTTTCCTACTATTTCGGTAACTGGGTAAGGTGGCTGGTCAGGGATCCTAGGTACCTGGTGGTTTAAAGAAGGAAAAGGGGAAAAAAGGGAAGAAAAACCAAAACAAAACAACAACAAAACCCCAAACCAAACATATAAACAACAAAAAACCCAAAATAAAGCAAAAGCAAAATAAAGCAAGACACCACCACCCGAAACCCAAAAAGCTTAGCAAATACCAAGGGTGACTGAGTGCTTGGTGGAAACTGATGTGAAACCCCTTGACCCGAGACCTCCAAGCTCTCCGCTATGACTAGGCTACATTGAATTTGAACTAGTAGGTCACAGATGAGCAGCTGTAGGCTTCAGTATTGTCCTCCCCATTTGAACTGTCTATAGCTATTGTCCTTCATTTCCATAGATGGAGTCTGCTCGTAAAGCCTGGGAGAACTCTCCTAGTTTACCAGAACAGAACTCTCCAGGGGGCGCGGGCTCAGGCATCCAGCCTCCTTCCAGTGTTGGAGCTTCCAATGGTGTCAGCTACAGCTCTTTTGGTGGAGTTTCTATGCCTCCTATGCCTGTGGCGTCCGTAGCACCTTCTGCATCTATGTATTTAACAGATTACCAACAGTTCAGCCAAGACGCAAACAGAAACCGTCTCACCACTGTGGAGAGTGTTACCCAAGTGTTACTGGTTTAAACTTAGCACAAGGATGACTTTCTCTGTGTAGCAGCAAGTCTCTGTGATGTCTTGATACATGTTGCTTACCCTTCACTGTGCGCTCAATAGAGTAGAAGGGAAATGAAGAAACCTATGGCTGAGAGACTTTGACAGTACCAATGTCAGTGTCACCCATTCCTCTGCTCATTTTGCTGTTTCATTCACAGGTTCTGAGCGCCTTCTGCTCTTCGTATGTAGTAACAACTTGCTTACAGTTTGCAGAACTCTGGGAGGTGGGAAGGTGTAGCTGTCCTTGAGTTAGAGAGCTTCAGCTCAGTCATGTTAAATAGCGTGTATAATTAAGGAGAGCATCTGGAAAAAAAGAAATGTACTTGGATTCTCTGACTCCTGGGTCTTAAAGGGCCTCTTACGCATGCACGATCCTTCTCATTCCTCAATTCAAGAATGGAGTGGAATGTGCTGGACAGAAGTGGTAGCGAGTGGACCACTGTAGTGACTCTGTTAGCTTCCACTTGGAAAACAGATTGATCTGAGTCTAGTGATTTCCTTCCCCACCCACAGTACTTCAGCATGTAAATCCCATGGTTCAGATCTGCACAGAACCACAAGAGCAGCACAGCACTTTCTAATTGGTGCCAGCTTTGGAGTGAATATGGTTTGTAGATCTCTTGTGTAAAGGTCTCAAACAGCATGTTTGCTCTTCCTGTCCCTCCTGCCTGCAAAGCTAAAATAATTGCAGAGCAGGTTTCTGGCATTTAGGAGCAGTTTGGAGTACAGTTCACCAGTGTCTGAGCTGTTAGTATCTTTGACTTATTTGTGGAGGTGGAAACCTGGGATTACATTTAACCTTTTACAGAAAGGTGGCATTAATTCTCAGCCAGCCTTCTACTGTAGGTGGACTGCTGCCTTTGGTGTGTGGACTAACAAGCTTCATAGGCTGTGGGGACTACATTTCTGTTGACTTGCTGAGATGTAGGAAATAGTCTTGTCCTGCAGGCCTCTGCAGTGTACTGTGCCTGTATCTCCCCTGTGCCTTGAATTTACAGCCTGTCTTCTCTGATATTTAGGTAACCATATTCCACCGCTGTATCTGGATGGCCATGTGTTTGCAAGTCAGCCACGACTGGTCCCTCAGACGATACCTCAGCAGCAAAGCTACCAACAGGTAAGGGAGAAATACAGCTAGCTAGTGGTTTCTCAAGGACTCTTCAGGATGGCATTTAAGAAATGAGGAGTCATTTATCTCTCCGATAGCCTAAAGGAGCTTAGATGTGGCTGTCTTTAGGTTCCTTGAATGCTGCTTCCCAGTGGGTGTCACAGGTTAGTGAAATTGAAGGGAGGGAATTGAGAGGTTTTTCCCCTTTTGTACCAGTGCCTTTGTACTGGATTTAACTGAAGAGGATACAGAGGTGTCTGTGTGAGGTAAAGTGAATTTCAGTAAATTCCATAGCCAGTCAATACTGATGAGCAGTTTCACTAACTGTAGTAAACAAGGTATTGATAAGGCTGGGGAGAGCTGCTTCAAGGTAAGTTTGCAGACAAGTGACAGCTGGGATTGTCAGTGCCTGTTCTGTGTGTGGAGCGTGTTGGTCCCCTCATGTGTCCATGAAGTGCCTCTTGCAGACATCGATCTTCGCTGTTCCTGCAGTATCTTCCCTGTCAGTGTGCTGCTGTTCAGTGGAATGATGTAGGGGCTGCGTAAAAGCAAAGCATAGGTCACTGTCGTGGGAGATTGACTCACGGAGGAGACTGATGGATTTTTAGCAGCCTCAGAGAGTTTCTGGCTCCTCTTGTACCTCTCAGTCATCTTATTTTCTTCTGCAGGCTGCTGCTGCTCAACAGATTCCCATTTCCCTCCACACATCCTTACAGGCCCAAGCTCAGCTTGGGCTGAGGGGTGGTCTGCCTGTTTCTCAGTCCCAGGAGATGTACAGCTCCATACAGCCCTTCAGGTAACTACTGCCAGTTTTCCATTTCCTTGTGGTCTGAACTTTTATGTTCCTGATGGCCATGTACATTGATCAGGTACTCCACACTCGTCTTCTCTTGCCCCTTTAGCATCCTGCTTCCTTGCCCTAGTATCATTGCTGAAGTGGAGAGCAAGGATATTGGGGTACATAAGGCTCTCTGTAGCATATTTATTTGTAGGCAAAGACCATCCTTGGAAAATTATATTCAGTTGCTCTGAGTACCCTCCCAAATGGTGAGACAACTTGATGTAGAAAAAGGAGGTTTGTGGGCTGGCAAGCAGACATATTAGTGAGAAACCGAGAGCTGACATCTTACTCTATTTAGTTGAATACTGGTGAGAAGACTGAGAGAACTTGATCAGAGCTGACTACCTGCATAATGAAATTAAAACCTCTTTTTATTAGATACAAACTAAAAGACAAGAACAGAATAAATAAAATGTAAGATTCAAATTAGGAAATCAAATGCAAGTGTAACAGTACTTGGCTACAGGAACTGCTTACTACAATTGAAGAAATGAGACATCCACTTCAGAGTTGGGCAGGCTGTGGGAATCATACTCTGTACCCCCTTTCCTGCAGGAGATGAGAGTGAATGATCGGAATAGTCCTTTAAGGCCTCAAAAACCTAGACGTTGAGGTTTAAAAAACCTGTTATTTTGCTAGAGCTCTTTGTGACTTCTGATACTTTTCTGCTTTGCAAAACTGCTGCAGACTTCTGGTAACCTGAATCCTCCTCCACTACTAATCCAGAACTTAATTGTGCAGGATATTGATACATAAACTTGGGATAGGACATGATGTCATTCTGTTGAATATTCCTGTAACACAAGGACGTGGTTGTAAGGGCTTAGAAGTGGAAGTAAAAGCCCCTTTAACTAAAATTGAAAGTGGCATCACAGCTTATTTGTAAGCTGTCAGTTATTAGAGTCTGAAAACTGCTTGCTGATTGCAGGCCAGATGTGGTTTGGCAAGGAGTGCGTGTATAGTCTCCAAAGGTTTTCTGCGTAATGACTTCAGCGTATTTTTCTTCTTGCAGGTCTCAGGTGTATATGCACCCCAGTCTGTCTCAACCTAGCACCATGGTCCTGACGGGAGGCACTGCTCTGAAGCCTCCGTATTCCGCCTTCCCAGGCATGCAGCCCTTGGAGGTGGTGAAAACCCAGTCTGGGTCCCCCTATCAGCCCATGAATGGAAGCCAGACGCTGGTTTATGAAGGCCAGATAAACCAGGCGGCTGGTATGGGAGCTTCCCAGATGATGGACTCTCAGCTTACACAGGTTAGGAGCAGGGCTCGCAAGCCACTCCCTTGGACAGGCTTTTTCACAGACACTTTTTTCTGAGACTGCGTTGAAACTAGTATTTGTGCCGAGTCATGTGTTTGTGTGCGCTAAGCTCTCTGTAAAGAGGCAAAGGATTCTCCCGAGAGACTCTGTTCTGTGAACCATTGTTTCGAACGTGCAGTACCTGATTTAATGAGATTCTTGCTAATTACTTTTTTGTCCCTGCTGAGATGTCACTTTGTAACTTGGAAGTCCTCACCCTCAGTACAGATGCTTCATGCATAGAAGACCATGATGCTTTAATTGTCCTGAAAGTATCTCTTGTGAGCACCAAATCCCAGTCTTCTCCAGATTAAACTCATCTTCCAGGGTAACTAGGACCTTTTATTAAAAGCTCATGTATCTCCTCAATTAATTTGTTATACTGGTCTTATTTACAACTTCTGCTGGTCTGTTTGGCAGCATCTTAACAGTTTCACTGTGTGTCTTAGTAGCGTATGAAGTTCTTTGTAAAGCATGGTTAAGATAGAGACGTTGAATCCTACTGTGAGCGTAGCTGTGTTTGTGGTCAGATGTGTTCTGATTCTCTGGAGAAGTTTGATACTTCTATTAAACTCATCTTACATTTATTTTGTGCAACATGTTAAGGTCTATTTTGTTTAAAGCAGGATTTTTACATTGTGACTGACTTAAAAATAAAGAGTTAATCCTTAAAGTAACTTATCTGGGCAAAATAGAGAGGCAAGCTAAATATCCAAAGAAATGCTTTATCCATCATAAGCTAGTAACTTGGTCTCTTGTGCCAGCCTGAGATTTATTTTTTTATTTATTTATTACAAAGTGTTGTCATAGAATCTCCCAAATGCAGCGATTGTGAGAACTGCCAGATGAATCAAAGGGAACAGGAACCTCTTGAGTCCTGAGCTGCATGTTTTTTTAAATTACTCTTCATCATTACTGTCATCAGTTTGAAGCTCACTGCAGAACATACTGCTGAGGTCACCATCACTTTCTCTAGAGGTCCAGTTCCCAAAATGCTTTGGTGTGAAAATGTAGCAGACTTTCTGGTTTGGGCATCTCAAAGCTGCAAGCAAAACGCCTGACACTGAGCTGTCTGACACTGCCATCATATCAAGAGAAAAATCCTGCAGCAACCATGAGGAAGACTGAAGGACTGGGTGAAGGTTCTAGGCAAGAAGGAAGGCCCTGTGTCCGAGTGCTGTTATGTTAAATTGATGCCATTTTAGAAACCCAGCTGGCAGGGTGTTGGCAACACTGGCAGAGCATGCGTTTGAGTGTGAAAGTCCCACTGTTACATTGATTTGTATTTATTCTGTGCCAGACTGTTCGTGAGCTTCTTTTTAGCAATGCTGTGCTTTCAGGGTATTAGGAGACAGCATGTCAAACACAAGACTGTTAATGCCATGAAGTAACTACATGTCCTTATCACACAGCTAACAATGCCTGTGCCTGGCTCCCAGCTTCCTCTGCCCCGCTATGGCTCTGGCCAGCAGCCCCTGATTCTACCGCAGTCCATCCAGCTCCCTCAGGGGCAAAACCTGCCTGTAGGAGCTCCTCGAAGAATCCTCCCTCCTGGATCCCAGCCTTCTGTTCTTGGTGCCAGCAGGGAGGTAAGGATTAACTGCTGCGTGCTCATCTTAGCATTCATTAACCCCTCCTGCACTGAAGCTTCACCCCTTGACCTTGTTAAAGGGGAGACTGGCTTGTTTGGGATCCTTAAACATCAAAGCCAAGGATTGGTGTTAAATTGAAGGAGCCCTTTTCCCCTCATCTCCAAAGCACAGGCCAGCAGTTTTTCAGGTTTTGCTCCTGGTCATCATTCTATTTCCAGGGAGCCACATCCTGCCTTGATCCAGTTTGGAGTCTCCAGTTTTATTACATGTTTACACAGGTTTCCCCAGAGTGCTTGAGGGGTGGTGAGCTCCAGACACAGCTGGAATACTGCCCAGATATTTCACACTGTTGTGAAGCTTGTCCATTTGAGTAGGTATATTAATGTCATGTCTGGTTTGATGGATTCATATCATAAGTTTGTCTGTTATAGGGGAGAGAGAGTACAGCAGTTAACTTCCAGGTTCTGTATTTGCTTGTGCTGTTGGCTTGTTGGTTTAATACAGGCAGATTATTTCACTTACAAGTCTCACTTTCTTCACCTGAAAAATGTTTTCTCTTTTAATGGGCACAGTGGGTAAAAGGGCAGAGGTTTGGCTGAAGTGTTTATATAAAGTAATGGGTGATTTGTGAATGTGAAGATGATACACTCTCTCCCACTCATTTTTCTCTGTAGTCCTCCCAGATGGAAATGAAAGGGTTTCATTTCTCCGATGGTAAACAGAGTCTGTCCTCCGGCGGGTCTGTACCGTCACCACATACGTACAGGTAAAATATTTATAGAACTTAGCCTCTATAGTCAGAATCAGAACGGGGAAGAAGTAGTGTTCCCCATTTGCAGTGACATGGTGCATGCATCATCCCTGTACGAGATTCACTTGGACTTTCACTTGTAGTATGCGTCTACTGTAGTCCAAATACTTGTACCAAAATTCATGATCATGGCTTTCATTTTTGGGTGTGGCCCAGCATGTATCTGACTTGGCCCTTCGTGCTTGTGGGAAACGCATAAAGTTATTTGTTTGCTGAGTCTTAAAGACAAATTGGAATTGGCGTGCGCTTTTCTGTGTTCCTTGTTAAGGTGGAAAATTTGAGGATCATTGAATATAAACATTTTAGTTTCCAGCGTGGTCCTCTCAGATGAGAAGTGCTCGTGTCTAGACGTACCAAACCTTCAGGTTATTGAACATTTTGGGACATGCACTTAATTTATTTTTTTTCTCCTAACCAATCCATGTGTTGTCTTTTGGGCTGGGGAGCTCACTGATCTGCACTGCACACACTCGTGCCCTGTCTACTGCTGCTTTCTGCTGTCTTTTTTCTTTCACCCATGAATAAGGTTCTCATTCCGTTGTAGAATTTACTCCATGAATATTGTCGACTCTTCGATTTCCAGGCCTAGCTCTGCCAGCCCAAGCGGGAAGCCATCTGGACCAGCAGTTAGTATGGGCTCTGTGCAAGGACACTATGTACAACAGGTAGTGTACACCAGTACTATGTATCTGCTCTTCTGTGCTGTCATGCTTGTGCCTTGGACTTAAGAGGAGTGGCAGGAAGGCCGGTGTACTGAAGCTGTGTGTGGGAGCTGTTACTTTCCCTCCAGGGAGAGTGGGTGGGTGTTATACCGAGTCCAAGAGTAACACTGTGTGATTTGAAAGTCAGGAGAGATTAGAGGATTACCTGGTTTACAGTGTCCATGTTTTTGGTGGTTGAGTTTTTATGGGTTAATTGCATTGCCAGACATCAGACACTTTGAGATACTCACGTGTGAGGGGTTTTAGAGCGGCAAAGTGTGACAAAATGGAAGAAATACCTGATTCTTGGAGCAAAGTTTGATGTCTTGCATGAATGATGGTCACAGTTTGTTTTTTGTGTCTGCCTAGAGGTCTCTGTGCTAGCTAATGCTTTGGGTTTGTATGTCAAAAGGCAAAGCAGCGGGTGGATGAAAATAAAGCCAATCTGGGAGCAGTAAAGCTGCAAGAAACAGCCTCCACAAACCAGATGAAGCCAGTGCGCACAGGAGCGATCAAACCTCAGGCAGTCAAAGTGGAGGAAAGCAAGGCCTAGGAGCACCTCTGATGCCCAGCTGGTCCCGCTGCCGGAGAGGCACTGCAGCTTGGACTGGACCCCGCTGGATCTCCTGAAAATCTCACCAGATCTACTCCCTGCCCCACATTGACTGACTACAGCGATGTCACCCAAGCCCCTCTCCCAACAAAGCAGTTTGAAACAGTGGATATGACATTGACCTGCTTGCTTTAAAACAAACAGCCATTTTTTATTTTTTTTCTTTCTCCCCCGTGCCCCATCCACAGGTAGCTGTGATTGCTCACTTCGCAATGCCCATCCTTCTCCTTCCCTACTTCTGTCTCAGCAGAGTGGCAACTGGGGGAGGGGGGTTAGTTTGAGGTTTTTCATTTTAAAGGCAGCTGAGGTTTTTACGAAAAAAGCTATATCTTTGTTTATAGCAGAACTTTTATATGTTCTTTCAATTTTTCCCCCCCTTATTTCTGCTTTCTTCAGTCCTTCCAGAAGAGAATTCCCTTCAGCTAAAATTATGTTCTGACAAAACTCTGCTTAGTTTTATATATGGTTCTGTGCTATGTTGAGAATCATGACTCTTCTAAATTGAATGAGTTTGGGTATATTTTCCCCAGATGATTTAGCCTTTCAGATTATTTGATTTAAAAAAAAGGACAGTGATGGCATTCATTAACTTTTCAGTATTTTTGTTTTAAGCTAGAAGCAGTGCTTGCGTTAGAAGTGTATGTGTACTAAAGGTATATAGTAGATCAGTGCATTAATCTTGAAACTTGCACCACTTTAATTACAGCTTTGGGATGCCTTGTGCACAACAAAATGTGGCATTCTTGTTTTAAGGGGGGGAAAAACCCCAAAATTTCTGTTGCAAGTTCATTTGGATCTAGGTTTTGGGGGATTTTGTGGGTTTGGGATTTTTTAGTGACTGCCAAACACACACCAAAATGTAAATCGTGGATTTAAGAAATACAAAATCTGTTAAGAAAAATCTCCTCGCCGCACATGGGTCAGAAGAGTTGGCTAGAGCCAAAGGGTCTGTATGGACTACTTTTTGTAGTTGTGATGCTCTCTCTTATGCTCCCTGCGTTGGCTGCTGTAATTCTTCGTGTCTCCTGAGACTTGTTCTATATTGTGTTCATCCCTTGGCGCTGCTCTCCTAGGCTTTGCTCTTCTCCCTTTTCCCTAGGTCTTGCTTTCTGTTCCTCTAAATCATGGCCTTTTGTAAAGTTTGCATAGAAGCGCGTTGGTAAGGGAGCCCCTCTGCAAGGCAGCCATTTTAGCACATTTGGAACCTCCTTTTTTTGTGTTGGAAGCGCATGGTTACAGAGGCAGTTTGGAATCATCCTTTTAGTCTCCTTCCCCAGATGAACAGCAGAGGGTTCTTTACTCTTGATGCGGTTGCATATAGTCTGTATTCAGTGTCATCACTTTATGCTTTCATAACAATATTTGATCTTCTATGAAAGGAAGGTCCCAGTGGGAGGGGGTTGGGTTTTTATTTGTGTGGTTGTTTGGTTTTAGTTTATATGTGTGCCTGTGTGTGTGTGTAGATTTTAGGATGGACTTACAAGTTCCTGAAAGTGCTTGGAGTCCTTCAGCTGGCAGTAGTCTTAAGTAAACTCAGCTACTTTCAGCTAACTTGGTTTGTGTTGTTTAGCTCTTTCAAAATGTAAAGTAGGCTGGTCACTCTGAAGTGAGGGAAAGAAAACTTCATTTTTGCAGGAGATGATAGCTTGCTAACTGGCTGTGCCGTCTGCCTCTGCTAGGTGGCAGCAAGTCATTTGTTGGTGGTTCCAAAGAAGATATTTTGAACAAAGAATGTATTTGGGAAGGGATCTGAAAGGTGTTCTTGTTTCTTCGTTTGCTTTTTCCCCCCCCCTTTCTGGGAAAGATCCTTCATAACCTTCTAGGGATGCATTTGAAGTTTTAAGCTAGGTATAAATAAGAATTTTATACAGTGGCTTTAAAGAGCTTAGAAACCTAAACTAACTTAGACATAGTCATGTCCCCTCTCCACAGGTGTCCCCATTGACTATGGCAGAGAACCCAAAGGGAAAGGGATAGGATGGTACTTTAAGAAAAATAAAAGCTCTTTTTTTCCTCATGTTTTATGGATTTTTAACTTTAGAGTGTGCCAGCATCTCTCTAGCATCCTCCTTAAAGTACCGGGTTTGAGATTTAGTGAGAAATATTTCCCTAGCCTTCAGACATCTCCCAGATCTGCATCCTCATCTGCTAGTCCTGCTCCCAGCATTTTCCAAAGATTGCTTCACCACTAAGTCATCACACTCCCCTTTCTGTTTTTCTCCCTTGGAATATCATGAACGATAGAATTGTCTGGTTTTTCTTTTTTTTTTTTTAATTATTATTCTGCCCAGCTGGCCCTAGCTAATACCAGCCCAGAATCTAACTGTAATGGCTAAAGAGACTTATCTGAGCTCCCCTCTTCTCATCTCTTTCCTACCCCAGACACATTACATAAGCTTTACAAAGACAGTAACCTCTTTCCTCCCACCTATATGACTTGAAAATGGTCAAATGTGTTGGAGAAACTGGGTTATTGCTAGATACAAGTTACTGCAGTCCCTCTGGTGTAAATGCCATCAGAACTACAATACTTCCTGTTGAAAAAGGTCACCCTTCTTTCTCTTTTAACCCCTCCATTCCTTCTCCCAACAGAATAAAACACTAGAATTTATTTATACGTATTTGATGTTGTAGGTCTAGGTGAAAAAGTAATTGTTTCACTGCTCTATTTATATATTATGTCTGAATTACTCTGTGCAGGAAAGGCCAAGAAATGCATGTGAGCTTCATTCCATTCCTCACCTTTGCGTGACTGTCAGCTGCAGTTGGCAAGACTCTCTTTCACTTAATGGAGTTTTGTGTAATGGAAAGCAGTTTCAGAGCCCAAATTTCTAAAGGTGCAATATCCTTCTTCTCTGGCATATATTTTTGTTTGTTTGTGTAACGCTAGTACAAGGTTAGTGCAGTTTGTGGTGCTCGAGTCGACAGGAAAGCCTCTGATCCTCAAGGTGCAGAAATGCCACAAGGGTGCTGGTACGCTGATATAAATTCAGGTTGGTGGAGGATGGAGATGTATAGAACATGGATATGGCTTATAGGGGGATAATTCTGCTTGCCGTGTCCACTGCTGAAGGGTCGGGCCCTAGTGATTTATTCCTTTGTGAGTTGCTTTTGCTTTGACTGGAAATCAGCCACCAAATCGCAGGCCTCTTCTGCTAGGAAAGGCGCAGTGGGAGGGAGAGGTGGAATCCATATTTTCAGCAATAGTGGGTGAAGCGGAAATACTCAGAGGCTGACTTTGCTGCTCTTCGTTCAGCTGCAGGTCTGAAGCACATTTGTAACCGGTTCTTCTGTACGCAGTGGTTCATGGCCTCGCAGCTGCATTCTGTGCTGCTTTCCTCTCCAGTTCAGCCTGCTTTTAGCTCTTAATTAAAAAAAAAACAACAAAAAAAGAACGAGGTTAAGGAAGGAAAAAAGTGCGCTGCGGTGTATTTTAAATTTAAATGAAAAGTGGAAGCAGCACAGTCACCAGGGAACCAGGTACTCTTGTTGATCTTCCATAATTCGCCCCCGGCTCGGCCGCGTGGCAGCTGTGCAGTGGTCAGTGGCTCTGGATGTGTTTGCAGCCCGTTGAACTCCACAGGTGTTTGTGTTCATGCAGAGGCGCTCCATCTAACAGTTTCCTTGCAAGAATGCTGCAAAGCTACAAGCTGCCCTGTGGTTCCTGTGTATGTACAGATACATATTAAAAAATGAGCTTAGCATTCTTGCTATGTCTCACCTTTTGGCGCGCCACTACATTCACTTTCAAGCGAGCACCACTGCATGCCAAGGTCTTGTTCTGTTGCATTTTGTTAGCCTGTTTTGCTTCTGACTGGTTAAGCACAGTTTAATTCCTTGTAATGTGGGTTATTTTTGGGGTGCAGCAGCCCAGTTTCCTCACAAGAAAGATGCATTGTGAATAAGAACTAATTTATGGCAGGCATCAGGATAATTAGCTGTGGCCCATCAACAGCAAAGGTGCATTTTGCCCAAGCAGTGGAACTGGGTGCTGTGAAGAGACAGCACCAGTCCAGCTACTTTTTGTTGTTGTTGTATGTTTTAATCCAAAGACCACCCGCTCTTCTTAGCGGCCATAGCCCCCTCCTTGGGTTCCGTGGCTCCTCCTGGCTCCTCGAGATGTCTGCAGCCGCCACCTTGGCCGTTCCCCTGGGTATCGCAGCAGCGAGGCGCTTGCCCTTTCGCATGTCTCCAGGCGTTGTCCGTAGCTGGCATCCTCCCTCCGGTTCTGTATAAATCGCATTTGTTGTTTCTCAAGGGGATATTGTACTCCTTAAAGCTTTTAACCTCATGACCTGTAGAGTACATTTGTTTTTTTTTTTCTTTGGCCTTTCCTCTCTTTGTCTTTTCATGTAGACCAGATATTTGAAAGGGCAGACGATGGATAATTGTGTAACGTGCAACCTGTTTATATTTTTTGGTAACTTTTACTCGGTCCGGAACTCGAATCACGGCATCACCAGGCCAGTTGCGGCACACTCTTTATTGCCCTTTTTCCTCGTTTCAGTACCTATTGTTTCTCCTTTCAAATATGTGATTGTATTAGCTCTTTCCATATGAAAGAATTCTCCTTATTTAAATAAAAAAAAAATTAAAAAAAATAAAGCAGATTATGCTTTTCTCAAATTCCCCAGTCCCTTGCCTGGTTCATTTTGCATATATTTATCATTTGTTTGTTTTTTCCCCTGAGCGGAGGTGGCCGTGCTCTGGCGGGGAGCCAGGCGGAGCCGGG